TCTAGTGAGGGCTTTGCTCAATTTCTGGCTTCCAAAACAGGTTTTGGAAACTTGTTCATAATATCTACTAAAGTTGGGTGGCAATTGATTCTCTGGATCATCAGTTCTGTTCCTAAGCATATACCCTAGAGAAATGGAAATGTGTTCTCATAAAGACTTGTACAAGAATGTTCATAGCATCTTTGCTCATCATAGCTGAAAACTGGAAACAACCCAAATGTCCATCAGCAGGAGAATGAACAAATTATAATCCAAACATTTGTCTTATTTGTGTAATGGAATATTATTCAGCAATAAAAAAGAACAAAATATCACGCCATCTAATGGAATGGATGGAACTCAGACATAATGGATGAGTGAAAGAAGGCCAATACAAAAGAGCACATACTGTAATTTTCCATTTATAAGAGGTTCTTGAACAGGCAAAATGAATTCATGATGAGAGAAGTCAGAAAATGATTACCTCTAGGGCCAAGAGAAGTGGGGTGAGGGGGATTTTTGAAGGAGTGGGAATTCTGGTGTGCACATGGCTAGAGGCTCATTGAGATCCTCACTGGGTTTATCTTTTTGGCTGCATGCCCATTATGTTTAATAACAAGGAGAAAATCCACTATAAAAATGAGGAATGAACTTAGTACTTTGCCTCATGGTACTTACCCTGCGTGCAATCACGTAGGTTCACCTGCACGATTATGTGATGTGTGTCGGTTGTCCCCAATAGCCTCGTGCTCTGGCACGTGCCTGTCTTGCTCATTCTCGTGTTCCTGGGGTCTGCACAAAGCGGGCTCTTGGCAAGTGTTTGCTGGGTGCATGCACGAGTGTTGGATTGTAACCAAGCTCTGGACCCCATGTGTGGGAGGAGGGAGAGAGAAGCCATCCACTCTGGTCAGGGGGCAGGGTTGCTTCACAGAGGAGAGGCCATCTGGGACACAACTTGAAGGCTCTGTGAGATTTTTCTCAGGCAGCAAAAAAGGAGGAAACACATCAGTTCTGTTCCTAAGCATATACCCTAGAGAAATAGAAATGTGTTCTCATAAAGACTTGAACAAGAATGTCAGCAGAGAAGCTTGTACTTGCAATGGTGGCCGCAAGAGCACAGGGCATCTGGGCTTTTTGTTGTGTGGCGGTGGTAGGAGCCCTGGCTGGTGACTGCGGAAGGAGGTGAGGGTCAGAAGGTAGGCCGTGCCTTGTTATCTGACCCGAAGGGTTTGGTCTTTAGTGTGCGGTAATCATGGAAACTTTGAGATATAGCTGTCAGCAAACTGAATCAGCATTTTAGAAAGTTTGCCAACTGGACCCCAACAGCACGAGCCAGTTCTTTGTGGAGGCAGGAAGGCAAAGGCCCCTCAGGTTCTTGCTCAGACTAGGAGATGGACCACCAAGGATGAACCTGTCTTGGGCACCCTGGTGGCACCCTGGTGGCACCCTAGGGTCTGCTAGGCTGAGCCTGGGCCCGCTGGGCTGGTAGAGCAGCGCCACCTACTGGTGGGTCCTGCACCTGCACTTTGTGGTCCATCTGCTTCCTCCACAGCCTTGGGGTCCTGGAGGGGCACAGACCAGGGCTGTAACCCAAGAAGGAGGGACAGGAAGAGAGCTTTTTTGGAATGTTGGGGTTCTCCTACGGGTATTGGAAAGAAAATTGTTCCTTTTCACTGAACAAAGACAAATTGAAGTTACTGGGCGTGGGACTGATTCTGCCTGGACTGATTCTTATTCCCCCACCTTTCGGCATTTGAGACTTTGAGAAAGTTCCTTAAGCTCTTTGTGCCTCTGTTTCCTCATCCATAAGTTATGGATGACAACGGTGTAGCCCACTCAGCCTGGGGCCCGGCACTCCCTGAGGGCTCAGGGACATCTATTTTTCATTGTCCATTATTATTGCCACATTATCACCCAAGGGCTGAAGGGTGACAGCATGTGACACAGAGGGCAGAGGGGTCTGTCCTACCTGGAAGGACTGGTGCATGTGGTTGAGCAGCCTGGACTCTCTCCCTGCCACTGTGAGGCTACTCAGAGGGATGCGATCAGATCTGTGTCTGAGCAACCGTCTCCATTGTCAAAGCCTCATCCCCGGCATCTGGGTCCCCACAGTATCCTCATCCAGGAAAGGGGCTCAGGGAGGTCACCGTGCACGTTAGCACAGTGAATTAGGGGCGGAGTCAGAAGCTGACTCCTGTCCCTGCTGCCCGGCTTGTCCTGCCTGTGCATGGGAGGCACCCGATGGTGTCACCAGCAGTCTAAGAACTATCAATGACACTTTCCCCTGCCCTGGACATCAACCCTGGACAGAGTCTGAAGATTTTCTAGTCACTTAGTTCATCTTATTTCAAGAAACTGCCTCTTTTATCTAAATTAAGGTTTCTCCCCTCTTGCAGCTGGACCCTCTTCTGGCTGGAGACCTGCAGTAGCAAAGGGTGTCATGGGTCCCTTTCTCTCAGTTTTCACTTCTCATTTGCAGAAACTGATTAGGGGCAGGAGGGGGCCAAGCAGAGGAAAGAGTTGGCGAGGTCCTTCGTGGCTTTGTTGTCACCTGGTGGTGGGCCCCTGGGGGTGGCTTCTCGGGCTGTTCTTGAGTCTCCAGGCTTGACACACACCCCCCCCCCCCCAGCCTGGGCACTTCCCTTTGCAAGACTCTCTGCCCTGGCTGCCGGCTCGTGACCTGCTCTTGGCCTCCAACTTACCAGGGATCCTCCTCCCTGCTGGGTCACCTTGCTCCAGGTGGCCTTCACGTGAAGAGCCCCTCTTAAGACCACCAAGTCCTGCTCCCTCCGGGAGAGGCTGGGGCCCCCCAGCGGGCCGACATCAGACCCACTCACAGCTTTGCCAGACGGCAGAGGGTGATACTGCCCAGCTGGCCCCTTCACGCAAGCGTCTGATTCATTTTAAGGGGACTGTGTTGTGCTTTATGCAAAGAGGAAGGAAAGAAGGATGCATGCCAATGTGTCCCGAGGAGACCCCCCACTGGGGATAGGCACCTGCCCCACCATGAATTCTTCACTTTCTTTTATGCAGCCTGGAGCAGTGTTGGCAGAGGTGGGTGGCCTGGCCTCATGGGCGGTGGCCACTCCTGCCTGGCTGCCCTTGCCCCTGCCCTGGGCCGGGGCACTCGTGATGTGGCTCTCAGGCTTGGGGAGGCCGTTGGACAGGACCCACGTTAGCATCCTGCCACGGAGCAGGGAGGCCTGTCAGGCCCCAGGCAGGGCGTGAGCATGAGGAGGATGCATGGGTGTGCAAGTTCTGAGAGTGTGCTAGTGTGAGTGTGTAAGAGGGCAAGTGAGTGTGTGTGGCCACGTGAGAGCGTGAACATGAGTGGTGAGTTGTGTTAATGCATGTGCACGAGTGTTTATTTGATTGTGTGAATGTGAATCGTGCATGCATGAGTGTGTGCACAGGGTGTGCACATAAATGTGCAACCACAGGTGAGCAAATGTGGACGCAGTGTGAGTGAGCTGAGAGTATTGGTGTAAGAGCGGGTGCTTGTGCAAGAACACGAGTGTCCTGCATATCGTGAGTGTGAGGAGCGTATGTGAGCGCAAGAGCGTTGGCGAGTGTGTGTGTGAGCGTGTTTATGGAGCACTCGTGTCATTGCCCTCCTTGGACCCAGGCTCATGTACCCACCATACGTCCCCAGGTCCCTGGCTGAGAAGGGGTGACCTGGTGCTGTGGCTCTCCCACGCCTTCCTGTCCCCTGCTCCTGTCCTTTCCCTACCTGTACCCGATGACCAGTGGCCTCCGAGTTCCCCTAGAAGATGCCTCCTGGAGCTATTTTGCCAGGAACCTGTGGAACAGCTCAGAGGGGCCTCGGGGGGGAAGCCAGCGCCACGGGATTCTCCACCATCTGTGCTGTGGTTTCCGAAGTCTGGTTTCAGACGTGTCCCCGGCTCCCAGGGCATCTCTGGGCAGGCACGCGGCTGCCACAGTTAGTCAGTCATCTCTCCCTACACCCAATGGGGGGCTCCGGGTCAGCAGATTTCAATTTTGGGGGTCGTGCAGTTTTGTTTTAAAGAGGAAATTTTGCGGCACGATCCAGCAACACAGTCATGATGATCCGAGCGAAGTCGAGGGTCCTCTTGAAATCTGTCTGTCAGTCCACACTCGCTCTTCTGGGGAGTTTCACAGAATAGTATCAGACTGATTTGTGAGAGAATTTCTGAACTGGTGTCGGGGGAAACTCCACCCAGGGGTTACATAATATTTTCCAGGAGATTTTTCTTCTTTTTTTAAAATTAATTTTTATTAATTTTATTTAAATTTTTAAATTTAAATGTTTTAAGGTTTTTAAAAAAATTTTTTTAAAAGCAGAAACTTTTTTTATGGCTGGGAGGGTCTCACTGCTGTGCTTCAGAGGGCCTCTGCTAGAATGAGCACCGTGGGGTTTATTTTTGGTCCCAGGGATTGAACCCAGGGGCACTTACCCACTGAGCCCTTTTGGTTTTAAGACAGGGTCTCACTAAATTGCTTAGGACCTCATGAAGTTGGTAAGGCTGGCCTTGAACTTGTCATCCTCCTGCCTCAGCCTCCTGGGCTGCTGGGATTGCAGGCAAGTGCCACTGTGACCCACATGCCTGTTTTATGTCTGTGACTGCAGTCTAGCCCCAGAGGACACTCCTTAGGTATTCACTGGGTGAATCAAGCAAAGGGAGTAACGATCGGTAAAGGGGTGGAGTTGGGGGTTGAGCGTGGTTGAAGTTCTGCAGGTCCTGATGGTCTGACCCTTTTCCCTACTCATATCTTGCTCAGTCATATGCATTGCCCCCCTAGAGGAGGCTACATGTGGAGAGTTGTAGACCCTTTAGATGGCAGCGGACACAGAGAGGGCTGGTGATTTGCCTGGGGCCACATAGCTGGCGTGCACAGAGCCAGGGCCATGGGTCCACTGTCCAGGGAGCCTCCCAGACCCTCGGGTGGGAAAAGCCACCTGGGCGGTCTTTGCAGGAGGCATTGGGGGCAGGCGGGCAGGAGCGCAGGCCTCAGTGACACTGTCCTTGTGTTAGTTACAGGGCTCTCATCAGGCCCACGTACAGGGTGTCCTACCGCACGGTGACGGCGCTGGAGTGGAGGTGCTGCCCTGGCTTTACCGGGAGCAACTGTGAGGAGGGTAAGTCTGCCAGGGTGTGGGGCGCCTGGGGGACAGGGCATGTCCAGGCTTGGCCGTGGGGGCCGTGGGCATTGCTCCCCACTGCCCTTGGCTTTCCACAGGTGGTTTCTAATGTGACATTCTTTCCTTTTCCCAACACTGACCTCAACACTCTGGACTGGCCAGCCAGGGTGCAGCTGCCCACCCTGCCCTGGGCATGAGGGGGTCCTCCCAGGGTACCACCCAGGTGAGAGTTGGAGGAGCCTCCGGAGCCCGGGCTGGGTAAAGGGGTTGGATTTACAGCCTCCTCCTGCCTCCCCGGCTCCGCCAAGCCCAGGTCTGGGGCAGGCTCCGTGGGCACGTGGGTCTGAGAAAATGCAGACCAGGGCCACCAGGCTGAGGCTACGGATTTTGTAGAATGAGGCAAACACCAGGAGACCTGGGGGACAGCTGCAGATGGGCCTCAGCTAGCTGTCCTGGGTGCTCAGAGGGAGGACAGATGGATGGGCCAGACCAGCACCTTCCCAAACCCCGGGGCCCCAGCTCGGCCTGATTCTGGAGCCCAGGAGACCTGAAAAGAGCCACAGGTGGGTCAGAGGTGGATGGCAGGGCAGGTCCCCGTCACACTCACAACAGGAAAAACAGTCACCCGGTTCCCCATAGAGTTAGTCCAGCAGGAAGGAGGCCCAGTGGTCAGTTTTGTATTTGGAGACAATAGTTATCCTCCATGTGGACTTGTTGACAAAATTATTGTCTCATTTTTTATTATTTAACTTATTATCATTATCATTATTTTTTTGTACTGATAGGAGCCAGGTGCTCTGCCACAGAGCCACAACCCCAGCCCTTTTCATTTTGTGTTTTGAGGCAGGGTCTTGCTAACTTACCCAGGTTGGCCTCCAACTGGAGATCTTCCTGTCTCAGCTTCCTGAGTTAGTGGGATTACAGGTGTGTGCCACCATGCCCAGCTCCTAACTTATGTTTTATTATTGTTTATTTTTAAATTTTTTTTTGGTACTGGGGATTGAACTCAGGGGCACTTGGTCACAGAGCCACATCCCCAGCCTTATTCTGTGGTTTATTTAGAGACAGGGTCTCACTGAGTTGCTTAGCGCCTTGCCATTGCTGAGGCTGGCTTTGAACTCTGGAATCCTCCTGCCTCAGGCTCCCGAGCCACTGGATTATAGGCGTGCACCACTGCGCCTGGCCTAACTTCTGTTTTAAAATATGTGTATATTGTCATTCTTAGATCCATGGGGTGGGGGTTGTTCCCAGGATCCTCTGCAGATTCCCAAATCCCTGGGTGCTCTGGTCTTATTAAATGGGGCAGTATATGCACAGAGGCCCCACCCCTCCTCCTGTATCTTTAAGACTCCCTACATGGCTCATAATGCCTGAAGCTACGCAAATAGTTATTGGGCTGCACAGAAAAAAAGTCTGTACATGTTCCTTAAAGACGCGATTGTTTTTCTGAATCTTTTTGATCTGTGGCTGGTGGAATCTGAGAGCCTCCAGACACCTCCCCTTCTGAAGGTTAGAAAAACTTGCAGCCATGTAGCTGAAAACAGATTATGAGTTTCTCTAGTTAGGTCGATGCTGCCTGTGCGTTTATTGTAAATGACCTAAAACTGGGTTACAGATGACAGCAAGGGAAATGGCAATAGTCATAATGATGGTGATGCTTCCAGGGCCTGTGGCCCAGAGCAGAGCGTCAGGAAGGAGCTGGACATAAAGGGGTCCACAGGTGCGGCCCTTCCTGAGTTTTGAGGTGCCTGATCCTGGGATGGGGGAGCTGTCTGTGCTTGTTGGGGTGCATAGAGCTGACCTGGGCCAGTCCTCAGGGGGACTTAGGAGGTGAGCAGGTGTGAGGATGTGGGCTTCCCAGGTGGACAGGACCCAGCGTACCCCAGGTGCTGAATGACCACCGCTCCCACCATGTTCCTGTGGACACCTGAGACCTTCCAGGGCAGGACATGGACCTGCTTTTCCTGTCAGTGCCACGGCCATGGGCAGAGGTGTTTGGTCCCCCAAGAAAACAGAGAGGACCTGCTGTCTGGATTCCACAAGGGGTGAGGGGGCAGGTGTTTCTAGGAGGGTTGTCACTTTACCCTTAAGTAACTTCCAAGCCGTTTGCCACGGTCAACAGCAGGAGCAGTGCTGGGCACCACCCAGCAAAATGTGGGGTGGGCCCCTCTGGGCGCCTCCCACCGAGGCCTATTTTTGGAGGGCTTCTCTTAGCATCAGAAGGATTTGGGCTCATCTCCGCTTCCAGGGCTCGGAACTCCACCCGAGTCCCGTCACCAGCGTCTCCCGTGTTCTCCTGTCTGCCACCCCCCATGTCACCCCACCCTGCAGGACGGGCTAGTTCTGAGAGTAACCTTGCCTGGCTCACCTGGGGCCCTTCCTCCTCCCCCAGAGACCACTGCGGGGCTGGGGCATCCTATTTTAAAACCTCTCTTGAGATTCTCTTTATTGAACCAATGAACAAACTACCAAGGGAAGTCTTCACGTCTCAAAATGTTTACATCATAAATTTCATGGAAGTAGATAGTGACTTTTCTTTGAAGGAACCAGCAGTATATCGAAGCTGATTCGAAAGATCAGAGAAGCTAAGGTATCTACCCCCCAATCCATCCCTCCATCTACCTACCTGACCATCTTTCCTCCCGTCTACCCATCTGCCCTTTGTTTATGGTTTATTGCAGCAAAAAAAGAAAAAAAGATTAAAGTCAGCCAATATAAAAGAAGGACCTTAAATAAGATCACCAAGTTTGGGGCTGGAGTGGTGGCTCAGTGGTGGAGCACTGGCCTAGCATGTGTGAGGCCCTGGGTTCGATCCTCAGCACCACATATAAATAAAAATAAAGGTCCATTGATAACTAAAAAAGAATATTAAAAAAAAAAGTCACCAAGTTCCACCTGTTAGGCACAGAACTTTGGAGTTATCCTCTCGACTGCATTGAGACCCCCGGATTCTCGCCAGTTTTGTGGAGGTTGACATCCAACTTTGCAGGGTCCGCGCTGTATGAAATTCCTAATGAATGACAACTCAGACCAAGCAGCAGTCTTCCAGGTGCTGGCTGTCACGTGGGTGGGCTCATGAGATGGTGCCCTACCACGACATTGGAAGGCTAGGCCGTCTTGGATAATCACTGGGGGCTGAATGGCTAAGGGCAGCAGGTCACTCTGGGCAGGTGGGAGGACCACGGGGCACAACCCTGGCTGCTGCTCCAGAGGCCCTGAGCACGGGGACAGGAAGCCGGGGAAGTGGGGTTGTGGGCCTGTCCTACCCCATAGAGGGGGCAGGGCCAAGGGGTGGGACCTGTGAAAGGCCCCTGGGGGCTTGGTTCCCCTCCAGGAGAAAGTTCTTATCTGACAGACCACATTATGTCGATCATCAACATGCTCCAGACACAGCCCGGTTTTGTGGGTTAATTGTGAGGACTTGCCTGCCCCTCTCACCCCTCTCACCCGTCTCAAGACGATCAGCCTCAGAGCCACGGCGGGCCCCTCCCTGCTGAGGAACCTTCCAGACTCACCCACTTTGGGACAAGTGTCCAACTCGGGATGGGGGACGAGGGTGGCCTCTCAGGGTGCCTTCCCAGCTGCGGTCAGGAGGTTGTGACATCCCCAGCTGGGGGAGTTGGTCGTTGAGGAATTCAGGGGCCCTGTGGGCCTGGGTGGAGTGTGGGACGGGCTCCTGAAGCCCTTGGAAGGATTTTATATTCAGCCAGGGGCTGTGGTGCACGCCTGTAATCCAGCACCTCAGGAGGCTGAGGCAGGAGGATCGCGAGTTCAAAGCCAGCCTCAGCAATTCAGTGAGACCCTGTCTCTAAGTAAAATATAAAAAAATATAAAATATATAAAAAAGGGCTGGGGATGTGGCTCAGTGGTTGAGCACCCCTAGGTTCAATCCCTGGTCAAAAAACAAAAAAGATTTTACGTTTCCAAACATGAACCAATAAAGATGGCACCCTAAATCAAGTCCTGGCCACACCCAGGACTTTGGGTACATTCCTAACATGGTTGTTGGGGGCCCTAACCCTTCATTCATGTTTGCTGTCATTTGTACCTCTCTTGGAAACCCTGAGGGGTGACGAGGGGCCATCCAGTCACCCAGTGAGTTTTGCTATGGTTCAGATGTGACTCCTTCCCTGGGTGTAGGTCTGGGGCCTGGGGATGCTCCCCTTCACAGATCAGCTCCATGCTGATTTGAAAATCCTCATTCACCTATTTGCTAAAATGCATTTGTGGCCCTCAAGTCAGTGCTCCCAGTGGGTCACTCCCAGACGTGGACAGACAGTGAAAACACGGAGCCCCCCCCACCCACCTGTGTCCCAAAGAGGCCAATGATGCGACCTCTGCTTCCTTGCTCCAATTCTCAGACACGAGTGTCCTATTTAGTGATACGTTCTCCACATTTTGTCCTTTTCCGTGGTGATTTATGTGGTGTTCCTAAGTACAAGAAGGTGCCGCGGGCCTCGAGGAGAAGACCTATAGGAGCTGAGCTTTGTTCAGATATCACGATGGTGCTGTTGGCCACCAGGTCAAAGTCCGTGGACCCACAGTAGGTGTTAAATGAGGTGCCTTGAAACAGAAGCACACACACAATAGGGTTTGTGACTGTCAGCTGGCGAGGAAGGTCGCAGCTGGGGACTTTCAGAAGTCCAACTCTAAGATTCGGTATTCGCTAACTCAGTATTTGCTAACTCAGTATTTGCTGTGACTTTGTAGAACATAACACCGTGTGCCGTTAGGGTCAGCTGTATCTGTGTTTATCTATGTATCTAGGCATCATTTTTTCCTTATTATGAACGGAAGTTCTGACTTACGATGATGAGAATAATTTTCCAACTTTTTGAAGATGTGAAAGTGGCATGCTCTATAGAAACCTTACTTTGAGGACTAGGACTGTCGCTCAGTGCTTATGAATTTGGGTCTCATCTTGTGTGGTCTAGGGATTTGCCATAAGACCACTCCTTGTGCTGGAGTCTGTGGCAGTGAGTCCCAGCTCTCAGTCA